AAGGCGATCAATCCGGACCTCTCGTGCTAGGGAAAGGTCCTCTCTATGAGAAATATGAAAATCCAATGAAAGGGTGACTGAAGGGATAATTGTCCAAATAATCTTAAATTTATTGCATGATAGCCAATTTAGTCTTAAACTTTTTAATTGTACTAATTTAGTCCTAAATCGATTGTACGATAGCCAATTTATTCCTAAACCTTTTGACAATTTGTCAATTTAATCCTAAATCTTTTAACGATTTGCCAATATAGTACTTTCGGATAATTTTTGGCCGGAAATCGCTGAATGACTATATTGACAAATCGTTAAAATGTTTAAGACTAAATTGGCAAATTATCAAAAAATTTAGAATTAAATTGACACGATTAAAAAGGTTTAGGAATGAATTAGCCGCCGTACAATAGGTTTATGATTGAATTTGCATGATTGAAAGGTTTATGACTGAATTAGCCGCTGCATAATAGGTCTAGGACTTTCTGGACAATTTTCCCCACGACTGAACGAGTAATCGTTGCGTTCAGTTGAGGTTACTGAACAAGAAAATATTGTATTTTCTTCTCACTAAGCAGAGATGGAAAAGCAAAATACCTAAAGAGAGTTATATTGTTAAACATCCATTTCCAGGGTTTTAAATATCACATAAAAAAAATAGTTCTGATATCAGTTTTGAGAGAGACTCGATCTCAACTCAACACCAGAGCTTTCTTATTCATTTCTACCCTTCCATTCGATTTTTCACTTCTCATTTCTCCTTTTTTTTGTTTTTATATCTTAGTCTTGAGTGTGTCGGAGGCATTTTAGTCTGGCCGCGATTGTCAAAATCAAAATGAAACTGTATTGTTTGTTCTTCCATACCATTACTTTCCCATTGAGGAACATGCCATTATCTATTCCAGAATAACCAATAGATATTTGACTGACCACTAAGACCCTTGTAAAATGAACTATATTGTTTATTGTATACCATACACATCTTTATTCCTTGCACATACCGCTACACAACCTATTTCGATTTTTATTAATTTCATATAACATTTATCATATTAATTGCAAGCTACGGGATTTGGATCCCACATCTATGGTACAAGATTTCGGCGTGCATTTATATGACCTTTAGCCCTCCCACCTTAATAGCTAGCTTTTGGAAATTAGAAAGAAAAATAAGGAATCTTATAAATGCATGCCGAAATCTTGTACCATAGATGTGGGATCCAAATCCCGTAGCTTGCAATTAATATAAAGAATCTTAAGTGATTGAAAAAACAAATATATAGTGGAGACCTTTATGTTTGGAGTGACTTTTACTTTTTACTATTTATATTTTTACTCTTAGGGCATGTGTACTTTAGCTTTTAAATATGTAAAACACTTGAAACCTTTTTACAATTGTCTTACATTACACGTGCATTTTGAACATAAATTTCTTATATTCTTTTTTGAAATTTGGACAATGTATTAAATTCTGACGAGATAGTCGAAAAAATCAATTTCCTTACAAAAGTTTTCTTGCAACTATTTTCCCCCTGATGAACCGGTCCAAATAACGAATTGGACATTTTCCCAATTTCCTTTGACTGTATTTGGTCGCCGACAAATAAAGTCAAGATTAAATCACATTATATTGAATGGTAAATCCGTCGGATCTCATACCTCGTTCTTTATTTGGGAAGATCCCGCAGATAAGAATGAGTATACACGTATCCAAATACGAAGAGTTTTTGGTGTTTCCAGAGTATGTTTGGACAAAAGATTACAAAAATCAAAGAAATAACTCAAAAAAGGAGAACTTTACTCCACTTGCAATCGATGGTTGCCCTTGTGCATCGAGATTATTGCAGTAATGTTAGACACAACCCATTTATTACAACATCTACTGAAGTTTAACTGTGCTCGTGTCGTAATTAGATCAACCCGTTTAGATACGAAGAGTAAATGTGTCGTTCACGGATGACGTTTTCAACCCATTTATTACATGCTAAGACACGTTTAGTTGTACAGGCTAATGTGTTACTCAGGTCGGCACAACATGGTTGATACATTTAGACATGTAATGCACATATAGACATATTGTACTCGTCTGCATATGTTTGCATCTCTCTTGTCCCCCACTTAATAAACATGTCCTGTTCGGATTTCAAAGATATGATATGACAAAGAAATGTGTCATTGTTTGGTTGGGCTTAAATTTAAATGATACGTCGCCGTTTTGACACGTGAATATCTAAATTGTCTATTCATATCACAATCACCATGGCGTGATTAACTACTATCCTTGGTGACAACCATGTGGGTCGCCGGCTTTGTCATAATTGTTCGGAGAACACGTATACGCAAAAAGAGATACTAAGAGACTCTTGAGCGATGATTGTGATAGTAGTGGCTTTTGAGAGACCATCATTAGCATCGATACCACCACTCTGCATTCTATCCATCAACAGAGAAAAACAATTCCAATCTCTCTTTTTTTCCTCCATAAAATCATCTCACCCTAATGTTTGATTTAAACTAGAGGTGATCAATAAGTTAGTAGCCCGTATGGGCTCAAGAGACTCGGAAAGCAGCGGGGCGGCTTGGACAATGTCGCTAAATGAGAAAACCTGGCCCGAGCCCCGAATTTAAAAGTAATACCACGGCCGTATCTAATGATAACCTCTAATTTAAACCACTCTGGCTTCAAACGTTAGTTAAGCATTTTAAATGGATTGCATACGTTTTGATAGAATGAAAAAGTGGAGCTCTGTGTAGACGAGAATGTGAACCTCGAAGTCACTCGTTCTTCTGTTGTTCTTTCTCCAAGCAAATCCAGGAGCACGTCTTGAGGCTCTTAGGCCATGGCAGGCATGCAGAGGAAGGGGCTATTTGGTGACACGAAAGGAAAAAGTATGAAGGTGACTTTCATGAAATTAGCTTGGAATGCAACCATCTATTTTTTTTGTGGAGGGAAATTCACTTAGGGTTTCATGACAATTGGCCTTCTCAACCAAAAAGACTTGTAGCTTCTGCTTTGCTCTCTGTCACTGTCACAGTCATTTTCACTACATTGCTGAGGGAGCATTCTGGTCACTTTTACCTGTTAGTGTCACAAGTCTTTGCGGTCAATTGAGGGTTTGTATGGATTGACTCTTGTTTTGGGGAGTCTTGATTGATGCAACTTTGGTTTAAGGTTGATGGTTTTACTTCTACAGACACTAATTGGAATAGGAAATTGAATTTTTTTTTTCTCTTTTTGTTTTGTTTTTTTCTGGGAGATGTAGCTCTCCTTGATGATCTTATTCTGCAATAAACTATTTGACATATCAAAAAGAAGAAATTGATTGGTTTCTTGTACAGATAAATCATGCTACATCTCACTCTCTCATATCAAGTCACAGTTTTATCATGAGTAAAAGTGTTTTAATATTTGACTTAAACCATATCGTTTTGTTAGTCAATTAATGTCGTAACATATCAATTATCATGTACGTACAAAGGTATGATTATACAACATCATACCCACACAAATACATAAAATACTTATTAGGTATGATATTTTCGTCGAGTTCTGTTAATCTAAATCTTGGTCGATCATGTTCTAATTTGCAAACCTTTCTTATTTACAATGAGATCAATATAACGTCATGATAATGCAATTGTAAGTTCTATTATGCGAACCCAAACAGACTTTTTACCAAATGAAGTTCCTACAGAATAGACGAAGTGGAAAATTTGAAAGAAATATCACTTGCAATTTCCCTGACGTCATATTATTATCATTTGAATCCAATAAGATTTCTAATATATTTACCTAACATGTTTGGTCCATACCACATTGATGTAGCAATGGCAGGACATTCGGGGAACACAATGATAAATTGGTGTTCAACGTGGGGCCCCCTCCCGACCCCACCACATCTTGTTTGCTTTCTCCCCATCTCTCTCTCTCTCTCTCTCTCTCCCCAAATTCCAAAATTTTCATTTGTCTCTCAGAATCAGTGAGGGCCACCACAACACAACTGTGTCACTTTACTTTACTTTTGTTTTGATTTTTCTCCTTTTAACTTTCCTGAAATTCATGGAAGGAGTTAAAAGTAGAAAATCTCTCATGGAAAAAGAAGAGACAGAGAGAGGCTCTTTGATGGGGAGAGGTTTTCAGAATGACAGCATTTGAAGTTTGGGTTGAATGGGCAAAATGGCCCCTCCATGTCTACTGGAAACCTTTCAAATTATCTTTAGCAATTTCTGATACTTTAGAAATTATCAGAAATCTAGCTGTCTATTCTCTGATAATTTCTCAAAGGACATCCTATGTTGAATCTTTCCCGTGTGAGATATGAAGGGACAATCTTAGATCTGTCAAACCAATCAAGAATTGAGGACAGGGTTCTATTTCTTAGGGTTTCTGGTATTTCACATGGGTTAATAACCCACTCTCATGTATGCAATCACAGAATTACCATATTCAAATTTCAGGCAGCTGCTTGATCATGGGTTTGCAGGTTGACCGCTCAAGGAGTCAAATTTGAGGCCCAATTTATAGTTCAGGTGTGAAATCAGGGGATCAAGGATTATTTGTATATCCAATCTTTTACCTACTTCTCGTTGTTTCTATCGATGACGCCATTGAGCACTCGAAACTCTTATAGCACTCGACTGATCTCACAAGGCCACCACAGTCTTCTCGTCACAACGAAACTAGATGATTACCACAGAATGAGGCCGTTAGGAGGAAGTTGTTGATGCTGGGGCTCGGTCATATGACCATGCTTCCCTCGGTATATACTGTCATGAAACCATAACTGCCCCGCTATCCTGCCTTCGATCTACCTTTACTCGCTTGAACTGACCTTTTTTATTCTGTTTTTCTGAGGAGCATCTTTTTTAGATGGGAAAATTAAAAAAAAAAAACAAAAAAGCAGGAGGCTTGCTTGCACTTGTCTAATTTCCTACAATCATCTTGCACATCTAATGATACATCGACATCGATCTTTTTTCCAAGTTTCTGATTGCTTCATCTGCAATTTCCACAAAGATAAATCAAAATCCATCACATCGACAACAATGACCTTGGACAAGGCCAGTTCTTCCCCGCTCATCGATAAGATCAAACTAAAGCAACAGAAGAATCATATGATTACCAAGTGCTTATCAGCAAGCGATGTTGACTTGGTAATGGCAGTAACAAGACCTCGGCCATTATAGTTCCCTTGTAGTTGTAGCACCACAAACTGCATATCCCCAGGAATGGTACTCAATACACTAGCCCCACTCCAACTCCAAAGAAAGAACTCAGTAATGAAAGAAGATACAGGTAACAATCCTAGTCCACACAAATCAAGCAACATCAACCATTGCATTTCTGCAGCCCATGGCTAGGGCTAACTGATTCATATAAGCAATCCTGGACATTTCCTCCCTTATACGAATCGTCAAAGTCAATACATACACGTGTATTATGTCCTAATCCAGTTTTCATTTGTTCATGTTATCATATGCTGCCTCAAGTTCACCTTCTGCCTGGATTCTGTAGCCAATTCAACTTCTCAGTACAATCCCAAAATTTAGAGGCCCAAAACTCAAGGTGCTTTCTTGCTGCATATCGCTAATTGGCGACCTACTTGACCCCTATCTGAGGCAAGGCTCTGATCAGTACATGAAAAAGGGTACATGCCAACTAACCAAACTGAAGCAATCTCAGCTCTGAGGCATTTACTTGGCCTGCAGATCCCCATCACTCTCATGTTCAAATTCAGTAGTGACCGTTAATTCATGTGTTGTTTTCTGGCCTCCCAAACATCCTGTTGCTGAATATCCACACCCCGGGAGATGATTCCAAGAGTTCCAATCCATAAACACAGGCTTCTCATCACAAGAAAGCAGATGAAAGCAAAGAGCCCCTTAGCAAGATAGTAAAGTGAACTAGACTAGGTACAATGACTTTGGATCAGAAACAGCACTTTCATTCAGTCCATTGGAGAGAGGAACTCTAATGAGACCATCATAATCCTCCTCACATCATGCAAAAGACATGACCATTTATGTTAAAGCCCCATGAGTAATCTTCTGATTCTGTCTTTTGTTTAATCTGGGTGTTAGACATGCTAGTTTAGGCGACAGTACATGAATGACAGAAGTACGAATGCAGCTGCCGGTGAATAGCCAAATGAGAACTTTCAGAAACAAAAAACATGTCTGCTTAAAAAGAGAAAAGGAAATTGGTGGGGTCTTAAGCAATAATTTGGCTGTCCGCCAGAAGAACGCAAGCAATTGAAAATCTAGCAACTCACAGTAGCAACAGCATTACTCCGCTTCTGGGTTTAACTTTCTAATTCCTTCTTCTAGTCAGACACTCGTCCACAACACTTATTTGGCCCAGAAGCTTCTTCAAACATTGTCCTATCATAACTGACTAGGCAAATTCAAGCGGATTTCAGCATTAAAATCATGCACCCAAGTTCAATCACTTCCTAATTCATGCATATAAATGAATAAACTGAATCCAATGAAAGAAAACACACTTGGTCAAGAACTCAAGTTGCAGACCAGAGTGCATGACAGGATTACGATATGACAATTACTCATGAAGCACAACTGTGGTAGAGTAGATCAATGCAACAGGTACCGGTGGAATACTCCATTCCAAAACCTTAGAGTCAAAATTATCCATTTCTGAAAAATGAACTAGCCAAAAGAAGAAGAGAACTTGTAAACATAGAACAAAATCATATGAAGGCCATCAAAGCCTCAAATCTGGAAGAAGATCAGAAATTATAGCAAGTCAAGTATAATCTCACTTGCACTCAACCCCAGCTTCAGCAGCACGGCGAGGCTTGTTCTTTCGCCTATTCCCATTTGTTCGGTATCCAACGAATTTGACTGCATCATTGGCGCTTGGTTTAGTTTTAATACCATTTTCCTCTTTGACAGAATCTATACTGTCTTTGGCTTGTGCAGACCTTTTCCTCTTCCTTCCATTTTCAGTGGCAGCCTCGTTTTTCACATCCTTCCCAGAGAGCGAATCTTTGGTAAGCTCAACAATTTCTTCTATCTTATCAGTTTCAAGATCGTCGCCTTCATCCTTCACTGGCTTCTGTGGCCTTCCCCGTTTTCTAATTCTCGGAACTTTTTCTTCTTCGCCGCTCCCAGGATCTTCACGAGTCGCAAGCATTTGCTTCTTCCCTTTTCCTCTAACTCTACCCATCAGTCAATTTAACAGAACTTGATACGCAGTTTTGAAATATTTCTGCAGAACAATGAAAAAGCCACACTCACTACTACCAGATATATAGAGATATAATCTCTCCTCTCTCAGGGACAAGGGGACACACTTGAACTCAATAAATGCAATGATGTATACCAAATAGGCATGCTAGGTACAAGAAAGAGAACAATAACATTCTCTCAAATCTCATAAGGTACAAGATTTTATGCATAGGCATGTAAAAATTTTAGCTCAGCTCAAAATAATCCCACAAAAGGTAAAAGAATAGGGATAGAACGATTCGCCATAAACTGCCAGCCGCTGGAAGAGCATGAGATTTTAAAGTCAATTAAACAATATAAACGACTTAATTAGAGTCCTGACACAAATCACTAAGTAGACTGCAAACTTGTGGCATCTTGCAATTTACCCGGAAGTCAGAATTTCGTAATGCGTAGAGTCTTTTTTTTTTTATCGTCTCTCTCATACTTGCTTTCATTCTATATGGAGTGGAGATGGCTCCTCACATTTCCAGCGAGTATCATCCTTTTCTCATCTTCTTAAATGTATTCTATGAAAATTTAGTTTGCTTTCTTTTCATTGTTGCAGGTGTTAAGGTAGAAAAAAAATGCCTGTCTGGCCTTGGCAATGTCTAACAATTGTCAATTTCTTTGGTTGACTCAAGAATCTCCTTTGAAACATTAAATTATCATGTTTGGTGGTGTCTAGCAAGCTAGCTCGGTGATATGACTATGTTACTGGATGGCCATGACCTTGGAGTTTGGGCATTTGTATTAATTTGGGAAACTTGATGGAAGTGCATGTGGACATTGCATTTTAAACACAAGTTTCTTTGTTGAGCTTGAGTGGATACATTCTCCCTCCTTTGTTCCTGGCTTTCTTCCTAGTTCCCTGCTGTTATATCCATCTCTATCTGAAGCTGAAGTGTCATTCCTCAGTGAGACCCTTGGCTTTAGTTCCTTGTAAGTACAGAGACAAGAAATTGAACTCTTATACTGTCTGGTGGCATAATATAACTGCTGGAGTAGGCAAACTGGGTATGCAAAGGGATTTTATCTCCCACACTTTCACATTATTTAAAAGTAATGCTAGGTGCCCTTTAGTGCCTGGTTGCCTAACAAACATAGTCGATTCGAGTTAACCAATCTTTTGTTTACACCAATGCTTTACTTTGCCCGTTTGCCATCTGGGTCATATAAGTGAATCTTTTGTGCTCTCTGATTGTTGCAATACACTGCTTGTCACGGTGTTGAATTAATTTTAGTTTGCTCCAAGATGCATGGTATTGGCTGTCTCTGTGTATTGTGTTTTTATATTTATCAAGAAAACCATGGGATGATGAGATGAGCAAACCTAAAATTTTTCCTGCAGGTCTGAAGCTGGAGCAGGCTGTCTGCATGAGAAGTGGGTGCTCACTTTCTTGCAGTGTGATTGTATTCTTCTTTCAGTTTGGTCCTTTTCATTTTATTTGCAGAGGCCATATGAGTGTTGGATTTCGCTTTACTTAGTTCTGTTTGTTACCACCATTCAAAACGCCAAGTGTTAACAGAGCCTTCATAAATGGAAGAACATGGGACAATGAATAAGTTTGTTGCCTCTCACTTGTTGATGTTCCTGCTTCTTAAACATTTGTAGATATGTAGAGAAGGATGATTACGAGTGATCAAATCTTACTCTTTTCTTTCTTATTGAAGAACAAAGTCTCTTATTTCCTTTTTCTCTACTTTTGCCGGTGTAAAACGTCTTCATGTCTGTTGCTCACACAGTGAGCATCCTATCATACAAATCAAGAGTGAAATTTTAGGGAAAATAATTATCTTCTCAACAGCCACAAGGCAGAAAAATTATAACAGCATCCGACCCTCAATCGGTTTCTTGCTCGTTCTAATCATATACCAATCCGAAAATGAGATTTGGAGAGCCGAGGACTCGTAGCAGAACTGGAACAACAGGTCATTTCAGAACTAAATATAGTCAAAACTCGGGGCTTACCATCCGAAACAAAAGAAGGCGAAAACACAAATGAAAGAATCCTCTCTCTGGTGGCTGAGTGTACAAGTGATAGAAACATCCGAGTAGAAGTTTGAGCCAAGCTCACGAGACAGAAGCATAACGAAAACAGAATCGATTTGATCTACAAGTTATGTACTTCAAGATTCAATATGTTCTTTCCTCAGCAGCCAAACAGCAATCAAACCACATATCCATTTTGAAGCGTAAGACATGAGAAAGGAAGCTGACCGTTTTCTCTATGAGGATGAGGAACCAGCTGCTTTTTGCATCTTCAAACCCAAAGTTGATCCGCTGAATCTGGGTGCTCGATCAAGAACCGATTCCAATCACCAACCCAACTGGGTGTTCGTGCTTTGATGGGTTCAAACCAGTGGGAGCAGCAGAAGCTATGGAAATTGGAAAAAAAATTGTTGAAGAAGCAACACCAACAATAGCTATAAGAGAAGGACACTGGATCAGAGGAGAGAACAAAGCAAAAAAAGACAGATTTTAGAGGAAGCCAAGTGAAAAGATTGAGGCTTTGGGGTGGCTTCTTCAGAGTCTCGTTGGGCAGGAGGGGCTAGGCATAGAGGGCAGGGCAGACACGGAGACACAGCGAGAGAGGGTGGGGGGTTAAAAGATGCTTCTCTTTCCATACAAGGGGTCCCCTGCTTGCTTGAAGTCAAGAAGCGAGATTTCGTGGGTGGAGTGAAACTCACCCCAAAAGAAAAAACGAAAAACCAGCACCAATAAAATACCAAGGCATGTCTTTGGATCATCTAAATTCGAAACTATGGTCAGTACATTAAGCTTGGAGAGGTCATGCTGTATGACGCTTTCTTTATTCGACAACTGGGTGTGGGACTGTGGATGTTTACATTAAGAAAAACACTGACAATGTGTGTGGATGAGTGAGACTTTGATTCACACTGCTTGCTGTACCGCGTGGTGTTCGGTCCTTTTCTGCCTTTTCTTTGCTTATTTTTTTTTCTCTCTTTGGGCTAATAAATGTAGATGAAGAAGATTCGATGGAGCCATTAAGATTGACTGCCACTTTTCTTTGTTTTTTGGGTGTGTGCAAGAAAAGCTTGAAAAGGACGATGGGAGGGTGTTCATTGTTTCGAGCCAAGGGGCACGAGATCAACAGCTGGACAGAAGTTTTGACAGGCGCTGAATTCTCAACGCAAGCGTTAATCCCTCCCCTCTGCCCCTCCCTCATTTCGGGCAAAATATCAGCTGTTTGGTTTTGGGCAAATAAAGAACTCCGGCATGACTTTGCACGTAAGGTCGGTCTATATTTGGTGGGCTGGATACAATAACGGATCATATTTGGCATCTGTTAAGTGTATTTGTTTTGTTTTGAAAAAGAAGAAACCCGATTTCTAAAACGGTGATGGTACACAACACGACACGAGAAACGGTTACTATATTTGAAAATTGCGTAATTTCCTCAATTGATTATCTTACAAGTTCCTAAAGCACACTGATTGGCAAAATACCATGATAATACATTTTGCCCGATATTTGATGGTATCTGTCGTACGAGAGATATTGAGGTACATAAATCCTGGCCATGTTTTCCTCTATTTTCAAGCAGAGTTTCCTCCAATCATGTCTGTGGTTTTGTTGGTAAGTTGCATAAATATATAGAAAAAAAAATCCACTTACCAAAAAACAAATCAAATTCAGCCTCCCTCCTCTCTACCATGGCCATCACATCCTAGCCCGGTTGTCTATTAGATCCCATATATAGCAACTAAGAGAGGGGGTGGATTGGTTGAAACGTTACCAAGAAGAAATTAGCCAACTTCTTCTGCAAAAAAGTTGCGTAGATACAGTTTTTGTAGACGATATACATGTAGATATAAACGATAAACATATGAGATAGAGCTAACGAATATCTAGGAGAGATTTACAGTGGTTCGATTTGGCTTTGCCAACGTCTCCCCTAGCTCGAGCAGCCCAATAAGGTCGCATCTACTAAGTTTCAACGAGTATTACAGTCTGTCTCCGTGATGAACTTGCTTTCCCTGTAGACAACAACCTTTTGCAAGACAGGTCTCCCTGATGTTGCCCCCACTCAAAGAATAACCATTTTTCTTCTACTGTGCCCCCACCACAGCACTAGAGCTCTCGTATATGTAATCATCCAAATTCAAACGCTGGACTTTTGAATCTGTAGCGTGGCATCGATCTTGAGTTTTCTTGAATAATGTAGCCACCAATCTACAAAATCAACTTTGCAAGATATCTTCAGATCAGTCCAGTTGACCAGCATGTATGGATCTTTTACGTAAAGCACTATATCGAGCAATCTATGGTTAGCAATCGATAAGATAAATCATGAAAAATCACGTCTAAAATGGGTTTGCCATGACATGCGATATACCGTAGCTGGGTCTCCAATAATTTGATCTCCTCGAGCGTGATTCATGTAAGGAAACTTCGGTCTTGATCTTCTACCGCTTTGTAGTAGCACATAATTCTTGTGCATTTCTATTCTCCAAAATGTATAACACCGGCGTTCAATGTGTATTTTCTTCCTTTTTCAGTAATCATAATATGAGTATCTCCATTTGATATGAACATCTCTTTTTTACACCAGTGATACTGCTCCCGTATTAACTTGAAGAGCTCTACCTTGACAAGGTTGTAATCATCAAAATGATCTAAACTTTAGATTGGTAGAGAGAAAGAGAATTGTCAGGGAGTGCGCAGCAAAAGCGCAATACTTTTAACTGGGGAGATCACCAATAAGGAGTTCAAGTCCGAGCCTATCAATATATTTATTTAAATCCACATTCACACAAAAGCAACTTGATAAATTAGCTATTTTACACCATATTAATTTTCTGATGTTGAACTTTCTAACACAACTACTCCCCCTTACATGTGAGCTCAATGTTAGGTCAAACCCCCTTAGTTTAGGTATCTCTTTCTCTATATTGAACCGTGCAGGCTCCGCATTGTTAAGCTAGGTTCGCTTCCCCATAATTCAGATCAACCCACCTTCATCCCCGGTCTCTTTCTCTATATTGAACCACATAACACCTACTTGCTTGAAAACCGCTTTGACTACTAGATTCCGCTCTAACACCATTTGCTAGTGAGCGCGCACTAGAAGCCTTTAACTGGAGAGATCAGCAAGAGAAAGCCCAAGTTCAAGTTTATCAACATATCCAATTGGACCCACCTTCACTTAAAAGCTTCATCCAATAATTTATGAGTCAATTAGGATATATCAACTGCTTCACACCAATCCAATTATCCTATGTGAGACTTTCCAACATAACTCACACGTGCAATTGAGAGAGAGAGAGAGAGAGAGAGAGAGAGAGAGAGAGAGAGAGAGAGAGAGAGAGGTGATGGCAAGCTAAAGCAAAGAAGATGACGAAACGACAAGGATGACAATAACAACACGGATGGAGGGTTGTGGCAATGGAAGAAATAGAGAGAGATTTCTTTTGTCGAGAAAAACCTTACAACAAATTCGTCTAATGTTACATATGCGATTGTCTCATATGGTATATGTGTTTAATGTTATACTCGTGATTTACCATATAAAGTATGAAATCATATCCTATAGTATCTGATCAAATAGCAATGATTAATATTATATAGTTCTCTAGCAGTTTTTGCCCCTAGAAACAAAAGAAGTACGTACATCCATAAGCTAGAAAGAGCGATCTCACTTGATATCTATGCCTCGAAATACTTAAAGATTGATAGGCAGTACGCTTCAAAATAATGTATGGCAATGACGATGCTTGAACAGCTTCCATAAGCAGGTGAACCATCCATTAATCGAAATAAAAACTCAATTGAACTCTTAATTACAACCCTCCTTTTCTTAAATTTTCAAATATCTATGCTTTTTTTAGATATTTAGATTCGATGATAGGCCCCATTGGGAATTGACCAATGTAATTTTGCCATTGACTACCAAAGATGCCTCTCTTTTTCTTTATCTCCCCCTCACTTTAACTTGGCCATTACTGCACGACATGATACGGCCTCCCTCATCTTTTAGGTACTACAGCTTGAAGATAAGGTACTTTCTTATAAGATAAAGATTGTGAATACTTATATAGGAAGGTAAGATCGTGGATTTGCTCCGAACCAAATCGATAGATCTGATCATGGACATAGCTATCTGTGGGTGCGCCCCGACTTTTCTCGAGCCAATCAGGCCAAAAGGGTAATGCTCGGATGAGGACATTCAGTTAGAAAGCTCGATATAACTCTGCCCTGAAAAATTACACATAATTTTCTAAGGCGTGCCTTGTTAATGAGTTAGGCTTACTCTTAGGGCTTGGCCCCACCAAAGTTTGTTCAATGATCATCTCTACAAATCAAATTATGCTTATTTGTACTTTGGGAGAAATTTTTTACCAGTTAGAATCTACCAAGCATATTTATGGGCCTTTGACTTTTAATTATGATCTTTATGAGTCAATTCGATTCATATACTAAAAAAAATACAGATCTACTAAGTGAATTTAAAAGAAACTTCGGATCATAAGCAAATCTATATGAACTTTCAATTTTATTGTATCATAAGTTGTTATATTATACCTGTTGCATTTCCTAATTCTTTTCTCGTATTTCATGATGTATATTGCGTCACTATGGTTCTACAGTTGTATAAAGAAATAATGAATTGTAGACAATACAGGCACACGACATTTTTTTTTTAATGTTGAAACGCAACAGCAAGAGAAATTAAGAGGCTCTTACCTTTCATCGAGTTTATATAGACTTTTCTCAGCCTATTTTACTTATATCTGTATATGCAAATAAAAAACTTATTTTAGGTATTTGGATTCTTTCAATTCTTAATTTACGATACATATATTTGAAAGTATATTTTACCTTTCGTACACTGATGTGAAAGTTACTGTCTAATTGTAAGACATGATACTCTTTCTTAAGAAAAATGACACTAATAATTCCTAAACTTTAGCCTAATATACCTCAATATACAATATCATCCCTTAATTTTTAACTTATCAAATATGGTTTTTGAATTATTACTAAATGTTCAGTGTATTATGTAGACTATACTAAGAAGCTTATTGTCGTTCTTTCGTTAGTTCGAGTTAATTGAATTTGTTGACATGTCTTTCAATTAATTTTAAATAAAATGACGAAAAAAATAGAGAACTGCGTATCTAGAAGAAGCTGGATAAAAAAATGGAATTCACAGTCACATGTTTTTATATCGTATTGTTCTGTCGTTTCAAAAGTCCAATCCTGCATTAAATATTCCATGTCATCAAATATCGTCTAAATTGTTATTTGATCAAACAAAAGGATTACACTAGACATTTAGGGGAAAAATTACCCAATTAATCATAAACCTATTATACAGATTTCAATTTAGTCTTAAACCTTGGTGTGAAATTTCAATGTAGTCATCCTTATCAATTTTCGTCAGAAATCGATCCAATCGTCCTACATGGCACACCGCCATGTCAGCAATTTCCGGCGAAAATTGACTGGAAATATTATATTGAAATTGCACGCAAAGGTTTTTGATTAAATTAACCAGATTGAAAAGTTTAAGATTGAATTAGCATCCGTTGAATCGATTTAAGACTGGTCAGGTAATTTTCCCAACATTTTGGAATAGTTCAAAGACCACAATGAACGAATTAAAAAGTCTAAAGATGGCATTATATATTGAGCCGATGTTTAGGGATTATTAGCATCATTTCCTCCTTTCTTTTTATCCTTTCCTTTGAGGATGTAATTTTTTTTTTCCAATTATCGACGTGGGATATTAGTTGGTGGAGAAAAGATACAACACAAACAAAAATAAGTTGGTCACGTTTTGTGGACCCCACCCCCCCGTCTGTGGGATAAGATGCCTAGAAAATTTAGGGGCTAATTCAATAACACTTACATTTCACCTATAGACAACTTCAATAAGTCAACCTACCCTATAACCAAGATGATAGTTGTTACCCAAACATAAATTATTTCCTTCATTTAGGCTCCACCCGTTTCAAGAAAATGAATAATGTGAAAAGTATTTTCTTAAAAATAATCGCTTATATCGTTTAAAATAATTAGTCAATAGAAAATTTTTTTATTATCAATAACAATTTGTGTCTAAATATTTTTGTGAACGGTGAAAATATATTTCATTCATTTATTTTTTTTAAGTAATACAAGCGATCATTTTTAAATAAATATTTATATATAAATTTGTGTCGCGTAATATTTTCCTAAACTTTCGTCTCCCTCCTTGAAACTTGACGATTTCAACGCCTTGTAGCGGCATGTGAATTTTCCCCTTTTGAATTGTCAAGCATATCAGCATGTCCTACTTTTGATAGAAAAGATATGATCAGATTGAGTGTTCCCACAAAATTCTAAATGCCTACGAATGGGGCTGGTAGTTCCTTCTTTCTTGTTATATTCGTATCGGTTATTTGCATTATTTCGTATTGCTATGGAAATGTCTCAATGTGACTGTCAACGGTTATTCACTGAAGATAGATGAAAACGTGTCTCTGTGTTGATTTTGAGTAAAGTCTTATTCTTGCGGAGTTTACTTTTCTCTTAGAAACTCGTGTCTTGTCCAAGTCGGACTCTCGTGACGTATCGGGAATTACCACCTCTACGGACGAGCTAGCTATTGTATACCATCTTGAATTTGGAATAAGAAAAAAAATAGTTGAAATCATAGGTGGGGATCAATTTGACTTATTTTCCAACTGAGAAAGAAAACAAAGATGAATCCGCATCATTAGAAAGTCCAACAAAAATTAAGAAACCTTCAATTAATAAGTGGAGGAAGACCACATATAAATAAAGAACATATAAATGCTGTAGACAAGGGCTGCGAGATATTTTAACACTCCCTCTCACATGTAAGCTGAATTAGAAAGGACACGTCGAATTCGACAAACGGGAGGGGAGGGCCTTACACGGGAAATAAACCGAGGTAGAACTGTATTAGAAAGTTCAATTCAAAAGTTTATAAAAGTCATGGACTAAGTAATGCAGATGCTTTAATATGACTAATGGGGTTTGTTCGGAATTTGTAGCTATTCTACAGTAGGAGGAAGTCATTCCTCTTTACGTTTTACATTACATCAACTAGGGTAATTTCTACACGTTTGGTGGACATTTCAAGCTTCCATACTCAATTTTTAATCTTGACAAAGACAAACAGTTGCAGTGCAAGTTGTTGCAAAGATTCGCATTAAATTTCAAGGATGCGATTGCGAAGGATCATAGAAGCTAGCATTTCTTGCAAAGCACTTCCTCCCACCATCAACATGGAATACATTATTCCATCAACTGCCAATTGATTTCATTTCCTTTCCCTCCCACCACCAAATAGATTATACATTTGCACATATAAAATATCGATATGCCACGTGTCGAGTGCCGATAAAAATTTTGTTTTTCTCTCTAGTTAGGCTTGAAACATGGGAACACATATATGGACAAGCACAAACATACACATATGCAATCGGCAGCCAACCCTATCTAACCCCATTTGATCCATGCACGTTTGAGTGTATGGTAAGATCATTATGATAGTCATGCTAAACAAAGCTTTAGGGTTTCTGGGCTTGGCCATGCTTTCAAGAATTCTGATGATGCATGCCTTGTTCCTTTCTTGACGACGAGGCAAAGTTAATTTTGCAAGTGGGTCCTTTCCATTTTATTAGTTCATAGCTTTTTGCCTGGACTCCTCTGACCTGAAGTTTGTTCATCATAGCAGCAACAATCTTACAAACCCATATTTAATCCCTTTTTATCAAATGGATTATTGGTACTAAGAATGAATAAGAGTTAAACAATAATGTAATTGACGAGCTCGTGATAAGCGCCAGAAATGCTCGATCCGATGAAGAGTTGGCTATCCTGCCTATGCATGTTTGATCAAAGTAAAAGGGTTGCCATGGCGGGTTTCCTTCGCGCCCAAAGTTATGAATAAATGAAAAGAAAGAAAGAGGAGCAGGTCAATTCCAAAATGAGGTTCTCAAAATAATGGATAGAGGCTGGTGAGGAAGTTCAGAGAATCCATGAGGAGCTGAAGACAAGAGACATCCTATAAATAGGACCAATTGCCCAATCGACCATGAGCAATCATTGACGAGCAACGAAATCTCAGTGCAAAACAAAGATCTATCCATGAAAGAACGTTCTTCCACGAACTTCAGAATCGGATTTCACAGGTACAGTGAATTAATGACCAGAACCAGCATAATGACTGAAAAGAAGATTTTTGCTCTGTGATAACTTCATTGCTCCTCTATACACCAAGCTGCTTGTCAGTCATCAAGATTCGAGATACATCTAATTCTAACCAGTGCAAGATTCAGAAATTTGGAGATCACCTACAACCAGGGGATGTTATTGAAACACACAACAGAGGTCTAGGCAGTACATTGAATCCTGCAAGAACAGAGCGCAACAGACCAATGATATCGGTTATGCTTGGCAGCAGACAAGGAGAATGAAAGTCACACATCTGCAGAAAGATATTGTTGGAAAAAATGTTTCGAAAGGTAATTAACTTCGAAGGAGATGAAAAACTTTAAGACAAAAGAGTAAACTTGACAAAGCGATGAATTGAACAAAGCCAGCCGCTCTGTCTCGGGCTCAAATCTTAAAAAGAAAAGGTATGTCTTGATGTGTGTCGCAACATAGTTTAGTAAGATTGAACCAAAGTTGAGTGTTCCTAGCACTCTTCCGTGAGAAATTATGCTAAAGCAGAAACTAGCAGGTCTATGACAGTCAGATGGATCACAACATGATGTACCCTTTTATCATCTGGGCATGTAATTGTCCCATAAAAATGCAAAAGGAAGCAGATAATATATATCCCATTTTTCAAATTAGAGCAAACTCGACAATTCAAATTCCTAGAAATGACAAGGTAAAAGGAGCCTCAACAGGACTTTTTATGGTATCCCCACATACATGCAAGCCCTTCCTTTCTTTGCACCAGAAACATCAACCACAATAACAACTATTCGCTCATTCAAATTTTGCAGTTGGGTCGGTAGGTTGCCAAGAATATAATTCTTAAGCTATCCGGCGGCTCCTGGTATAGCACATTTAATCTGTTTCCCGATAACATATAAAGAGGGAAAAGGTTCATCAAGGCATGAAATGACTTGCAGAGCTTTATACATACATTTGACCAGATTTTGAGAGTAGCAAGCCAATAAGTTCACTTAAATTGGTAAAATCAGTGTGACAATCAAGCTGATCTATTGGGAAGAATATTGTAATACCCACATGGAAGATGCTAGAAAACCCGGACTTTCAGGTCATAGATTCTCCACAGCTAGTTCCATCATACAGCTAGTGCCAGCAGAGAATGGCAGAAAGACAATTTGAAAGACAAAAGACTCATTCTTGAACATGCAAAAATTGCAATTGAGCACATCTGTGATGTAAATAGAACAGTTCTAGCTAATATTAGTACCAACCTTAGGAAATAAAAGAAAAAAGGTTTCAATGGAGAGAGAAGAGGCCATAACTCTGCATCTAGTCAAGAATACTGCTCCAACGACGTTTTGATATTGCCTCGACGGTGTTCAAAAGAAAAATCAAATAAGATGGAAACTTTTGAAATCCAAATAGCTGGTTTAGTGTCTGCCAAGAAACCCATGTGAACATCGGTGATGCTGTAAATACTTTCTACATCAACACGGCGAGTACAAAAGTGGAGCCATGCCTAAGAACGCTAGATGTTACCAGTCAACCTCCAAAATCAATACTGTTTGAGACTTGAATTTGGCTAACAGGACCGGAAGGACAAGAAGAACAGTCAAACCAACAGGAAATTCGCCACAAAGCTGAGCTACAAGGCACAAGGATTTGGAAGACCCAGTAAATTAAGTGGATTGCCTTTGGGCAAACACTTAAGTATAGCTTATGCACGTGATGATATATCTTTACATTTTCTAAAAGTCATCCATCAAACAAAAAAATATGACTATAGCCACTAAATTGGAGAAGATTCACTTACAGAATTCACTATGTCAAACCAGAGAAGCCTGCAGATTAATTGATAGAAGAATTAGCTGTCTTACTGCAGACATACTTTAATCCTTGAACTGGGGAGCAAACAATAAAAACATCCAAAACAAAGCCCTTTTTCCCACTAAGTGAGGCTTGAGTAGGACAACCAATGGAATAAAGCAGAAGCAAGTATAACGCAGAATGGGGGTAAAGTCATCAACCGATCTTCTGATATTCAAACCTGGATGCCCAAAAAGGACTTTCTCAGAAGCTTTGCATTTCATGTTCTCCTCTGATATTTCTCCTGCAGCTCAAAATTTTCTAGATAACTACAGTAGAAGTCTCCTTCCAACTCTTTCTTATTTCCTTGACCTTACTTTTCTCAATTTTAAGGGCCTCCCTCCCTCCTCTCTTATTTCGTTTTGCTGATACAACTAGCTGAATTTTTTTCCCCAGCAGAAGCAAACAAAGTAGAAGGACTCTTCAGACATAGGAACTTGAAGTGGAATGAAGGGGATAATCCATAAATATTGATATGTGTATTCCACAAAAAAAACCCTTTTAACAGCCGCCGCCCCCCCCATGTATGCAAGCAGAAGAAATTAATCTTGCCTCTAAGACTAATGTGACCAAAACAATATCCACTTCAAAATAGACAGAGTATGTGGCAGGGACTGGCGCTCGATTGATTTATATAGGGCATTGGTCAGTTTCAGCAACAGGTTGTTTAATTTCAACTTTTTTTCCAGTTACAGGACCAGTCCGGATTCAAATTGTTGAATTTGATTTCTACCAGGGATTTCCATTTTCAGATCCAAGTCAGATCTGGTTTAAATTCCAGATCCTTCATGGGTTTGATATATTCCTGCATCCAGGCTATCTCATATTCAGGTCGCTTCAAGCTCAGGTGGATTGCAGATTTTGTATTGGATGGAATTGGTTCCAATTTGGTTATCATTGGTTTAAGTTGGCAACTTGAATCTTGTCAGGTTTGGATCGAGTCAGTTTCAAAAGGGGAAGGCAGTTTCATTGGGTTTTGGTTAACCTTTGTCACCTCTACTTGAAACAACTACCACAAGGAGCATCTCTTTCTTGTACCTTGCATTCAACCATATCAAACAAATATTGCAAATAACAATGTGTAACAATCTTGGCCTAATCTGGATAACCTGAAAATGAAATGAATAAACAAAGAGGAGAAATAGATGCATTTCACAGAATGCCAGATGATTTCCAGCTTAAGATCATGTACAAAGGAAATTCTTCAAAATTAAACTAGCCTCATTTATCATGCAAAGCGTACAAACTTGATAATAGACAACCAAACCAACTGAGAAGCATTAGAATGCTTTGAGTAACCTTTACCACAGGAATATGTAAAGACTCAAAAGAACACATCCCCTTATCCGAAGCCAACGCTTCCTTGTCCGTGGGTGCATGTTATAAAGCTGATACACTAAGAAAGAATAAGCCTCATTCAATTTGATAAATGTCTCACATTAGCTCAGAGACATCGAACAGAACTAAAACCACAGAAGTATCAAGCAATGAAAAGTTACTCATGAATAATTGTTTTCTTCAAATCTAGCCAAACACGAATGCCATCAGGGTGGCGATTTACATATTGTTCAATGAAAGCCTTATCCGAGCATGCAATTATAGTACTCAACGCTAAAAGAGGATCAGCCAATCCTTTATTTTTCAACCAATTATACATTGAAATTCTAAGCTTAACCCTCTTAATATTAAAAGAAAGATAAGCTGGAAATCTCACCAAACTTGACAATGGATACTTCAAGTCATTCAGAAGAATATCAATCTTCATCTCAAGCACATCCTTCGTCTGGCTAAGAATTTGAGGGGATACTCTGACCATTTCACAAACATCTGTCCGATCCAAACCAGATTTCATGATACAATCAAATCTCTCTTGAAGCTCTCCTCTCTTGCCGCGGAACACCTTGAGGGCCCGTTTCAAGTCATTTGAACCCTTGACAAATCCCAAGCTTAATAAGAACTTAGTCTTGTGCACATTTTCATCCTCAGCAGAGTTAGCTAACGGTTTGACTTTCAACCCCATAACCCAGTTTTTCAGTGCCTGAGGGTTTTCCTTGACGATTTCACAAAGCCGTTTCTTTCCTGCATTCAAGTTAGTAAGCAAGCTATTGGCTTTCTTCAGAGTCGACGAACCCAATAGTAATGGGTGAGAACGGATAATTCTATCAATCTCTTCCGCCTCCATATCAATCTCCACAAAAAATATGAAGCACAGCCTCAAGTTTGAAACAAATTTTTCAACTTTGATATGCGGAAATTGAAGAAACATCTTATGAAACTCATCCATTGTAGATCCAAATTTGAGCAGCAACCCGACCAGGGAAATCATCCAACTCCCTGAACCCTCAAACAGAAGTCCAGGATGCTGACTAATCAATCTGTTAAGCTGCTCGTTGGTGTAACCCATCTTGCTCAATACAAGTAAAGCCTCAAGGATCCTATTCCATCTATAGTAACCATTTTCAGAAAGCTGCTCCTTTATCCAACTGAACTCAAATCCCAAAACCTTTAACTTCTCTATTACCTTACGAAAATCCAAATTTACATCCCCAGTCAAAATATAGGGGCTACAAAGAATTACCTTGGCCACAGTGTCTTGACTAAGCCCCAACTTTTCGTAAGCTCGAATTTTAGCCATCAAGACCCCGTGGTCATGACGAAATATTTCGGCTGCTTCCGTATAGATCTTTCCCATCTTAGTGCGCTCGATCCCACAGTTACACAAAACATGGTAGTTCTCCAGCAACAGTTCACTATCGCTCAAGAACATAATGTCGCGTGGAAGGAATGGAGCATATTCAGAGGGCTTCAAACCCATACTCTCAAAGAAAGGCTCGAACTCATTAATAGGATGGTAACGCAAGAATCGGGAAACCAACCGAGCCACATCGCCCTCGACATTGATCCTCTTAACAAGTTTTTCAAGAAAGAAGGGCGAGTTCCTACTAATGTGGTCTGCGTCCAAGAACTGGAGGCCTCTAGTGGAATGCAAGTAATCCGATAACGCAGCCTGCGCCGGTTTACGAATAGCGACGGGTATCTTACTCGCAGATTCCGCGATAAAGGCAATTTCTTCAGCTGGCACGGGCCGTTTAGTCCTGTAGAGTCTAGGGTTATGAGCGCCATGGACGAAACCCGTGGGCCAAGATCGGATTTTTAAGAATGGCGAATGGTTCTCGAGAAAATTTGAAGACACCCATTTGAGAATGGACCATGGTCTGAGGTTCTGTGCTTGTCTCATGAGTAACCGACCATCCGAGGACTTTTTTTTTAAAAGTGCCGTGCGGTGAAGAAGACGAGAACGAAACGGGCGAAAGTTTCAAGCTTTAAAGCTTCAGAAGAAGAGAATGAGTGCGCGCTAGCTCAGATGGACGATTCTCGTACCTTTGGTGGCGACTCCTGAGCTTCAGCTGTCTGGAGCTTCAGTCGACGGCTTCAATGGTGGTTTTTGGCGGCTCTTTCGGCCACTCCCATTTGAAGAACGGTAGGAGCAGTGCAAACGCTGTTTCCCACCCGTGGAGAGGACGAAGAGCGAGAGCGTCGGAAACCGTGGCCAAGTTCGTGCCTGGCCCGGCCCTATACCGGCCCTATACCGGCCCAGGTCGTGCTTCGTGCTGGCCCGGCCCATCACTGGACCGGGCCGTCGTCGCGCTCGTGTTAGTCCCATTACCGTGACCGTGATACAAAAGGGGCACAACCGCGGATAAAGAAAGAGACGTAGGAAAATACTTCTCTGCTTAGATTTTATTTATCTGACAAAAGACTTTTAAATAGGTTACTGATAACAACTGGATAACTATAAGGTAGCGACAAAAGAAACAAACTCCTAAAATCTAGGTCGGTAACATAAAATCCCAATAAACCAGACAACTTTGACTTATTCTAAAGAAATCAAATTGACTGATTTGAACCAACGTTCCCTCCCTTTAAACTGATGTTGTAGACACCTTAGCTTTTTGAAAAAAATAGATATCCTCCCTCAAATCGGATTATCTATCGAGCAAACACCAAACAATCTTCTTAGCTTCAGAAACGTGGGCAACTTGAGGGGTTTAGTGAATATGTCCGCTACTTGATCGTCACTTTTGCAGAAAATAAGATTAATCCTTCGTAAGATCCCTCAGAGAGTGATACTTTACGTCTATGTATTTGCTTCTACTACGTTAAACAGGATTTTTGGAGAGTTTAATGACTGAGCTGCTGTCACAGTAAATGGAAGTTGCTCCTTGTTGCTTGAACAGAAGTTCTTCAAGAATCTTCCTTAGCCAAATAGCTTGACAGGCATATGAAGTTGCAGCTACGAACTCAACTTCAATTGCTGATAAAGAAACAATTGGTTGCTTCTTTGAGGACCATGACATAGCTCCTGAACCCAGCATAAAAATGTATCCTAAAGTGCTTCTTCTATCATCTAGATCTCCAGTATAATCACTATCTGCAAAGCCAAATAAATATGACTTCTCTTCCTTCTTATAAAACAGCCCATAAGCAGCAATACCTTGCAAGTATCGAAAAATTCTTTTTGCAACATTAAGATGCATCTCTCTTGGGCATTCCATGTACCTACTAATGAGACTCACGGCATGCATTGTATTAGGTCGTAAGTACATCAAGCTTCCCACAATTTGCTTGTAGAGGGTGTCAGCCGCCTTTCTTCCTTCAGGATCTTTCAAATGCTTCAAACCAAACTCAATTGGTGTACTCACAGAATTGCAATTCTTCATCTGAAACCTGTCTAACATTTCTTGAACATATTTCTTTTGAGAAATAAAAATCCCCGCTACTAATTGAGTCACTCCAATGCACAAAAAGTAATGCATCATTTGTTTTTGCAGGTCATCAAACAAAAATGCTAGTTTCACATCCAATTGGAAGATAGGCCATGAATTTTGAGCTACCAATGCAATCATCAACCTTATTATATCATGCCGTGCGACAGGTGCAAAGACTATTTTTATAATCCACACCAAACTCTTGCTTATAGCCTTTAGCTACTAAGCATGTCTTGTACTTCTTAACTTCGCCATTTGCTTTCAACTTTGTCTTGTCAACCCACTTAACACCAATTGTTTTGTGCCCTCTAGGAAGATCTATCAACTCCCAAGTATTGTTTCTTTCAATGGCTGCAATTTCTTTATCCATCGCATTCCGCCAACTCGATTGTTTTACAATAACGTCGAAAGTTGTAAGATCACAATCGGAAAATAGAGCAAAATGTGTAAGTGGGTCTTTAGATTGATCAATTTCAGTTACCTCATAATCAGTCATCCACGCGGGTCTCCTTCTAACATGTTGTGGCGTTGTTCGGCTACAAATGGACTTTGAGCATCTTCTGGGGAAGTTTGAGGGATTGTTGGCTAATGCACATTCTCCATAGGTTGCTGTCTTTCCTCATCATTATCCAAGTCTACTGGAATATGGTCTCCAGCACTATTCTTGCTCCATGACCAGGTTCGATCTTCATCAAAGACTACATCACGACTGATAATGATTTTCTTGGTGATAGGATCATAAAGCTTATAAGCTTTTGATTGATCACTAATGCCAAGAAAAATGCATTTTTCTCCCTTGTAATTTAGCTTTTTCCTCTTCTAGTCTGGAACGTAGCAATACACCAAAAATCCGGAAATGGTCTAGTGCTAGTCTTTGGCCGTTCCATGCTTCCTTTAGTGTCATATTTTGAACAGCAAGAGTGGGACTCCCGTTCAAAATATGAATTGCTCTAATTGACTGCTTCAGGCCAAAAGCTTTTCGAAATGCCACTTGTTGTCAAATGGCCCATATTCAAAATAGTGCGATGCTTCCTTTAGCAAATACCGTTTTGTTGTGGCGTATAGGCTGTTGTAAGTTGCCTCTTGATTCCATGCATCTCACAAAAATTGCAAATTCATGTGAGTTGTATTCTCCACCACGATTAGTGCGAAGAACTTTTATTGACTTGCAAACTTCTTTTTCAACAAGTGCTTTATAGCTTTTAAAGGCTACAAAAGCTTTAGATTTTTCCTGCAAAAAGCAAAACCAAGTCATCAATGAAGGTAATTATGTATCTTTTACCTCCATTGGAAGATGGATTTATCGGCGTGCAAATGTCTGAATGAACGAGCTCCAAAGTCTTTCTTGCTCTCCATGATTTTCCTTGTGGAAATTGACTACGGTGTTGTTTACTATCAACACATTCATCACAAATTTGAGAAGCTGTAATTTGAGGAAGACCAGTAACCATGTTCTTTTGATGTAGTGTTCTTAGCCCACCAATATTGAGATGTCCATAATGAAAATGTCATAACAAGCATCATCCTTTGATCTCACGGAGAAGCATGAATGGGTAATATTGTGGAGATACAGCTTCGTTTCTCCGTCATACTGACTTGGGCAATTAAGCCCAATTTTTCATCTTGTATTATGCAAATGTCTCCTTTGATAGAGATCTCATATCCCTTCTTTTGTAGTTGGCCAACACTCAGCAAATTGGTCTTTAACTCAAGGACATAAAAAACATTTGAGATGGTCTGCAAAAAAATTTCCCTTTGTGTGAATTGTTACCTTCCCTTTTCCCATAACAGAGACGGTGGAATTATTTCCAAACTTCACAGTGTTGCGGAAAGATTCATCCAAATCAGAGAACACTTTTTTTTATCTCCACTCATGTGGTTGCTGTAGCCAGTGTCTAAGTACCACATGTTTGGTTGAGTTCCTTCCTTAACGTGACACACCGTCAAAAGTGACACTTCTTCTTCTTCTTTTTCTGCAAAGTTAGTTCTTTCTCCACTTTGTCCATTCAAATTAGTTCAACATTTTGATTTGTAATGGCCATACCTGTGACATCTGAAAACACTCTATATTGGATTTGTCCGCTGACTTTGGTCCGTAACCAAGTTGAATGCTCCACAACCTCTTCCTTTCCCTTGAGGATCATAATACTGGTTATTGTCATTATTTGAGCTACTGCGATCATTGTTTCTTATTGTGTTTGCCTCTTCCACGCTTACCGCACCATCCTTCTTTATTTGTTTTAGATGATGATGAAAAATGGTTTTTAGTTGAAGCCTTCAACGCTTGCTCCTCCATCTCTTGCTATTGGAATTTTTGTTCATGAACCAATAAGGAACCTGCAATTCATCAATTGAAAGTTGTTCGATATCCTTGGCTTTTTCTATGGAACAAACAACAAAGTTGAATTTGGTGTCAAGGATAGAAGAATTTTCTCAATTATGGTGACATCCTCCGTCTTGTCGCCATGAATTCGCATCTTATTGACAATTGCTATTGTCCGGGAAAAATAGTATGTGACTAGACCTATTAAACGGGTGGATCGGGTCGGGTTTGGGTCGGATCATAAATGGTCCGACCCAAATTGACCCATTAACCCGTTTATGACCCATTTATTCATAGTATAAATATCTCGACCCATACCCGACCCGACCCAACCCATACCCGACCCAACCCATATTGCTAAAACACTTTTATATTTAACCTAATCTAGGAATACTTGTTTCTTATGATTTTTTTTTAAATTATACTGCTAAAACATTTTATGCAATACAAAGCTAGTGAAAAAATTTTATAATTTTTTTTAAAATTGAGGTTCTGTTTGTTTTACGAAAAATGCGACATTTCTAGAAATTTTTTTCCATAAAGTCATTATCCAAGAAAATAAAAAAAAAATTAATATTTTTTTATTTTTTAAATCGAATTTTTAATTATTTTTATTTTTTCTTTTTCCTTTATTTTTGGCCGATCGCCGGCCGCCGTGGCCGGCGACCGACCACAGGCGAGGACGAGCTCGCCGGAGGCCGGCGAAGCTCGTTCTCGCCAGGTCGGCGAGGCTGGAGCCTCGCCGGGATCGGGCGAGCCTCGAGGTTGCCGGAATCGGGCGAGCTCGAGGCTGGAGCCTCGCCGGGATCGGGCGAGCCTCGAGGTCGCCGAAATCGGGCGAGCTCGAGCTTCGCCGGCCTCCGGCGAGGTCATCCCGCCCCGGTGGCCGGTCGCCGTGGCCGACCACCGGCCGGAATAAAAAAAAAAAAGAAAAAGAAAGAGGAGAAAAGAAAAAAGAAAAAATAAACGAAAAAGAGAAAAAATAAAAATAATTAAATTTCGATCTTTTTTAAACATTTTTGTAAAGAGGGAGAGAGTGTGTGGATGGGTCTAGTAGGTGGGTTGGACATGGGTTTCAAACTCAATCCATTTAGACCAATTTATCTTTAAGCTTTAAAATTTAAAACCCATTTAAGGTTGACTCTTTAAAATTAAAGTGACCCATATATGACCCATTTATTTTTAAATGGGTCATATATGGGTTTAAGACCCATTTTGACACCTCTATATGTGACCGACTCTCCCGATTTCATTCGTAGCATTTCGAACTGTGAACGAAGTGTTTGAAGTTGCTGCCTCTTCGCTCTTGTTGATCCTTGATATTTCTTCTTCATGGAGTCCCAAATTTGCTTGGAGGTATCCTAGCAAAGAATTATTTCCAAGATTGATCTATTAATAGCTTGGAAAAGATAATTTTTGGCCTTGAGATCTTTTAGCTTTAATGCATCCAGATCTGCTATTTGCGTAGCCAACAACACAGCTCCTTCCTCTGGTTCTGCAACTCCAGAGGTAACTACTTGCCAATACTCTTTAGACCCGAGGAAATTTTCCATCAGCATGCTCCAATGATCATAGTGACCATCAAAACGCGGGATAGCTGGTTGCGCAAATATTTCCAAGGCCATCGATTTCAACTACTGTTGCACGAGTAAAAACGGAATAGAACTACTACTGTATTCTTACGAACTCTCTTTTTGGCTCTCAACCATTTGTGGCTCACTTTTTTTTACGTGATTGAACTCTCAACGCTCTCTACGAAAACAAGCTCCGATACCACTGGTACAAAAAAGGCACAGCCGTGGATAAAGAAAGAGACACTCTAAGGAAAATACTTCTCTGCTTACATTTTACTTATTTGACAAAAGACATTTAAATAGGCCACTGATAACAACTGGATAACTAAAAGATAGCAACAAAAGAAACCAACTCCTAAAATCTAGAACGGTAACATAAAATCCCAACAAATCAAATAACTTTGACTTATTCTAAAAAAATCAAATTGACTGATTTTAGCCAATAGACCGGACTCGTGCTTGCGTTTTGCCGGAGCCATTTCTCGGTCAGTGCCGATTTTGTCGAAATTTGATGCAAAATCGAAATGAGACCGGGGGGAAAATCTTCCATACGTTGACGGTGCATGAAACCGATGATACCACCGCTCATCATCTCTGCGCATCGCCGATGGGAACCCACGGGATCGATCATCATCTCCTCCACATCAACAGCAAAGTCCAAGCCGGCATGCCCGACATGACATCACAGGACAAGCTTGCTGCTAATTTTTTTCAGAAGATCTTTCGACTATAGCTTGAGGGACCCTTCTTAATCTGTGTAGTTAAAGCTTCTAAGGATTTCCCCCTCAATTGTTTTTCGTTCTCTTTTCTTCTAGGAATATTTGATGATCATTAATTGATTATTCATGCCCTTTCTTTTTGCACATTCTTGGTCGAAGAGAGTTCTCCTTCATTGGATGAGATGATGACTCTGATGCGGGAACCATCAATGGCATCCTTGAAAGATGTGGTTACTTGTCCTCGAACTCGGTGATAGACTAGGAGTGTAACCACATTCACATGGAATTAGCTGTCAATTTATGTGAATTTCGACTAGGGTCGCGCTTTTTTCACTCCTTCATTGGCTAAACCAC